ATAATATATATATATATATATATATATATATATATATATATATATATATATATATATATATATATATATATATATATATATATATATATATAGAAATAGAAATAGAAATAGAAATAGAAATTAAAGTAGTCAGACGGTGAATGGTCAAATTTACATCCATATCCTGTGTTTATGGCGATACAGGTGATCCGTCAAACGAATGATGCGTCATTAAATACTACTGTTATATAGTGTTGATGCGTTTTCGTACTTTTGATTCATTTAGCCGATTTTGGTTTTTGCGCCACGATAACACCGGAACAGAGTAAACGATCAACAATGGTTGGTACACCTTACTGGATGGCACCTGAAGTCGTGACTAGAAAAGCATATGGTCCGAAGGTAGGTTCCTTTTTAGTGACCTATTACCATGTACCGTTTCCACGCATATTGTATACTTGCTGCTGTTTAGTACTGTAGAACTTAAGTTATCCTAAGCGTAAAATAATTTACGGTAAAGGAAGCTATGAACTGGTAGGACTGCAAAAGTGTTTTATTTTTCGGAACCACAATTACTGACTCGTTAAGCTTCGGATAGACGAAACAAATCTCATTGTGCCTGCAATCTGTCTAAGTTTATATATCTATTATAGTCTTTTAGTGACTCATCAACCAATATGATTGAATGTTTTAAGACAGTAAGCCCCCGTTGAAACGAATCCAACATGCATTGTTGGACCGACAATGTTGGCAATGGTGGAGAGCGCGATCATCAAATGCCAATTATGCCTCCCAGATGTGCTGGGCCAAGACCATATATATCTTATATAGACTAGATAGCGCATCTCGTTTAGTAAAATTGAAGCCAAGAATATTCCAACGGTTATCCCCATTTATTCACAGATGGCGGCCATGTTGATGTTTCCCACTCGCTAATAAACGCTTAAAAAACAACAATAACTTTCATCATTTGAATAATTTAAAAATGTATCTGGAATAGGTTTACCTTAATATTTAAGTTCCCTGTTTAAGAAATAGAAAACATACGAATCTTCTCATTTCATGGAAATATCCTGCACGAGTCTGCAATCACGGCTTCAATTTTTGAATTGTAGAATAATTAGATGCACTATCTAGTGTATATATTAAGATATCTACGGCCAAGACGAACTTTTCGTGACCAAACTGAAAAATAGGTACGCGATGCGTACATGTATCTGCGAAAAAACTTGATTCACATTTTGTATTTTCTTGAAAGATAATGAAGATGACATGGGACAATTGAAATATTTCATCACTTATTATAATAGCAGATAAGATTTAAAACAGGGGCTGTACACAGCGGGGAGTGCAGCAGGGCAAGTGCCCTCCCCCCACCCCTGCACCGAGAAAATTTAACTAACTTTATAATGTGATTATGATTGTAACAGATAATTATGCAGTCAGGAAATAAGCATTTCATGCAAACAATATTCAAAGTGTCTATACAGCCAGCTATTTAGTAAACTGTCACCTGTCAATTCAATCCATACTCATCAAATTTTCAAAACTTTATTGTAATCATATGAAGCAAAAGTTATGTCACTTGTTGTTTACACTTGCCAATGTTAACTGTTGAGTAACATACACAAAATATTTGGTGAACATGTCGAAGACCACTGAATAATTGAGAATGTTTTGAAGGTCATGAGTGAAGTATATAATTAAATTCCAGTTCTGTGCACAGTTTATGATATACCACACTGTTCGGTTTAACACGTACAGCACATTCACACAAAAACAATTGTGTTGTGGGAGATTATCGGTTTGAGTAGAAGGTATCACAAGTTTAGTTTTGTACATTGTGTGCCATTGATCAAATCCACCATATAATACTGTATATGATTATTCATTGTAGCTGTTAAGTTATTTTCCATACTAATGAATTTAGGTAAGATTGTCTTGCAAGTTGGTTGTTCTGACAAAATTATCCAGCCAATATCCAGTACATTTATTCTTCATTCTTGTATTAATCTCTAAAGAAAAATATTTATGTTAGAAAGCAAAATGACAATGTAATGAGGCTCGGGAGGGTGAGGATTCTTTTATTTGAAAATGTTGGTAAAAATTTTGTTTAATTAACTCTAATGTGTAAAACCAAAATGTATAAGTATTTTAACTGATAACATCTTCAACCTTTGCTCTAACACTACATTTGATGACAGCTTTATAGTTGGACTGTTGTTTTGAACGGAGTCAATATACAGAAATACAGGACCAGGATTTAATTCAATATCTCCTGAGAATGTTTTCACTGTTTAAAATATTACAGAAGTCACAGAAGGATTGTTTTTAATACTGTATAAATCTTTTTGTGAACTATGTTGACAAATGGCTTAAAATATCCTCGAAAATATCCAATATTTTATACAGTGTAATATATTAATAAAAAATTCCAGAGTGCATTCCATGTAAACTCTACGCCGAAGATACGGCAATATTAACTATAGATAGTATAGTAAATATTTGCCGAACTGGCGAACTCATGTATTATAAAATATGTGGGACATATATTTGCACAAATTTGGTATTTAAATATATAATATGTGGTATTTGACTACTTACCAGATGAGGATAAGATTCCATGTTGATAAATAACTTCGGAATAATATCGCAAATAGAATGGCGAGAAAAAAAGACAGCCAATTCAAGATAAATTGATACAAATATCAAGATATTTTTGAAAGAATATAAACACGATTTATACACGAGGCCTGACGAGGCTAAAGTATGCCCGTTCGCAGGTTAGATGCGAGCACGATGTAAACAATTGATGTAAACGAATCGCTGATTGGCTTAAATTGGCTTAAATTATATAAGCTCGTCGCTGAATGGCTATGTGTTGACATACGGTAACACTGACGGTCACGTTTGCGATAGCAATATATCTGCTTCGCAGATACAAAAATCATCTTGCAAGTTGCATGCAAAAATTTATATAAGAAATTAAGTATAGGTAATCATGCGATGGCGATATAATTAGGGATTAATAGTACGAGTGATGTTTGGAAATTTTGCCAAAATTGGACGAGCCGCCGGGGCGAGTTTATTATTAGCATGACAAAATTGGATACTTCTCCGATGTTAACATCATATATTCTCTCGCCAAAGCCCAGTCCTGCCAGATTTTCAACCAAAATTTGGTGCTTTTGTCCGTATTTTCATTTAGTTCTTTTGTTAAAGCAAAATTTGGTGCTTTTGTTCGTATTTTCATCCAGTTCCCGAAGGGCAATTTCATTTCACGCTTGTGTTTAAAATACCTTTCCGCCATTTTGTTTGTTGTGGGGAAATCATTAATTGTACTGCAGTACAATTAATGAAATAATTGTACTCCTGTCAACCAATCAGCATCCAGTAATTTTGTCATGCTAATAATAAGAATGATTATTACAATGATTTTAAAAATTATACGTGAAAAAAGTATAAGTGAAAAAAGTCAACACATTACTGTTGAATAGTCAATAGTGATTATTGTTGAAGATCCGAACTGTAACAGTTCACAGTTATCAGTTAAACTTAATTGGTTGAAATTGAATTATCAAATATAAATTATGAAATATATGAATGCTTCAATGCTAAGATTTAATTCTTCTCCACAAATATTCTCCCCAGTGTGTATTATATGATATTTTCTGAATTTTCATCCTCACAAGTCACAAATTATGTGATGTAAAGTCACTAAAATAGTAAAATGTTCCTCTGTTGAGTCCGTTCTAAGAAACTTTAGATTTTCCTAGGGCCAGCCAGATTCCCGAAATCCCCTGGCCTAGAGATTCCAGGCTTTTCCAGCTACAGCACTGAAGATCCAAACTGAAATTTCTATTTGCCAAGACGAAAATGTTCCTTTTCTACAGGCATGCCAATGATCACGCGTAAAAAACAATGTTCAAACGAGGCCAACGTGTTACATCCAACATTGTTGGATGATTTTGGACCAATATGTTGGTCTGGTTTGAACGGGCTTTAAATAATTACTATTTATTATGTGGCAAGCATCACTTCCGGTGAAATGGCGGACTGTGATTGGCTGAGAAGCACTTTCAGCGGTCCATTATTTTCCCGTAATGGACCGGCGGTCCATTACGAAAAAACAAACGCATGCATTTTAAAACAAAACAGCAAAACTAATTGAAAATTATAATTTAATTTGTTATTAATAAGATGTCTGCGAATGGTTTTAAGTGGAAAGGAAGGAATGCATTGGTAATTTTTGTTTTCTTCGACCAAATGGTGTACCACGCTACTAATATGCATTTCAAATCATGTATATCTTGTTTGTTTCAAGTATAAATGCCATATAATAAACTTTTTATTAACCTCCCTTGCTTGGTCTTTACAGAGAAATATCGGACCTCGGTCTTTTTGTACAAACCTCGCCCTACGGGCTCGGTCTGTACAAAAAAGACCTCGCGTTCGGTAAATAAGAAGTTGGTGATTGACACCAGGCTATAATATCACAATGGCCAAATGGCTTAGAAGAATACAGCTCTGCTAATGGTAAATGGGATGTAGGACATGCAATTTGCGAGCACGATTGAATTACTGATAGAATTTACTATCAATGTTTACTGTGGTGTAGGTTGATATATGGAGTTTAGGAATTATGGCAATCGAAATGGTAGAAGGAGAACCTCCATACCTTAATGAAAATCCCCTCAGGGTAAGTTTTCGAAGTTAGTGTAAATTAGCGTCACGATGTCTTGATAAGAAGTCGCCCCTGTTGAATCGTTAATTCAAAACTTGAATATACAGTAACAAATATGCAGTAATCAATTTACGTGGTGTTTCACAAACAAAACTATTATATTTTTCGCCATGCAAACATACAAAGAACTTATACAGTAACAAGTTCTACAATAAAGAAATGTATCCATGCATAGCTGTGTAATTCGTGCAAATTTGTAGCTCTATATACCGCCCCATGAAATCTAAGTAAGTATGGGAGGGGGGAGGGGTGCTAGTCAGGATTACTGTGCTATAAAACAGACAACGTTTCACATATATGGAAAGCTTGAAAACTCGATAGATTTTCGTGTTACTTCGTCTGCTCGTGCGCCCAAATAACGGGTGTAGCAAGGGATAGCCAAATTATCTATAGATGCCAGAATGAAATACCCACATGGAAGGCAAGACCAATATACGGTCTACAGTATATCCATGATACTAGACAATCGAGTTCTCAAACCTTCTGTTATATTAACGTAATGAATAATTTAACTCTCCGTCAGAGGCGGATAATTGCGGTGCAACCCAGAATCTGTAATTGCACCCCTCCCCCTCCATTCTAGTTCGGGTGCATTGTTTTACCATTACAGCTGCCATCAAAAGTTATTTACAGGAGGTTTTGATAGCTTCGATAATCACTGGTGGGGGCGAACTCCTTGAGGGTTGCTGCAGAACGTGGAGGCGTGTGGAAATGCGTGTGTATATTTTTAAAAATTAGAACACAACGTAACACAAGAAATACTTCTTCTCATTTTATAGGCGTTATATTTAATTGCGACAAATGGAACGCCTGAACTGGCTCATCCTGAAAAATTGTCACCCGTTTTCAAAGAATTTCTAAGTTACTCCCTAGAAATGTCTGTTGAAAAACGCTACAGTGCAAGACAACTTTTGCAGGTATGTACGTAATCGTGTAGTTAGCTAGAAAGGGAGATTTGTGAATTTTTGTGATTCTATCTTCGCTTTGGTAAGGTGGTCTCATGCGAGTGCTTCCACTTTGAATCTACCAAAAACTCCGCAGGTTTTCCTTTGGTGTGCCGGTTCCCTTCTGTAGTAAAAAACTGTCAGTACAACTATATTTTCTATTTTACATATAGCATGACTTAATCAGACAGTCAAGGTCACATGCATGGAAACTACAGTGTGGCTTACCCTTATTTATTTATTACCTATAATTCATATTTTTGAACAATATCCACTGTTACGATAATGTAAGCACAGAATGATTACCAAACGTAAGTTGGTGGCAGCGAGCATGACAAAATAGGTCGTGAGCAATAAATACCAAGAGATTCTAACAAGGCCCCATCCGATAAAACAGAACAGGGATTATGTTCGTTGCCCTGCAATCAATGAACTACGAAAGACAGCCTACAACAAGCGAGTGATGGCAATCGAACGTCATAAACATACGTTAACTGATTGGGTCTACCTTGTGGCACACGCTTGATAATATGTTAAAGTCGTCATGTTTTGTTATTTCAGCATCCATTCTTAAAGAATGCAAAACCTCTGGCTAGTCTTGTTCCTTTAATTATGGCTGCCAAGGAAGCAACGCAGAGACATTGATCGCACAAGAATATAAAATATAATTCATATATTCCACTGGTTCAAGGAATTTGTACCAGCCGGACTCTAATTTGAACAAATGACAAATTACCAGAAAATTTATTGAAGTCGGTAACTGGAAGTCTTGAAGACTGAGCGAAGGATAGTAATGTGAAATACAAAGTAGCGTTAAGTTGAACACAAATCCATACACCGAAAATGGATTTCAAAAACGCCAAGGAGAACTTATTTCAGAAAACAGATGGAATTAACCGAAAATCAATTCGAATGCACATTTTCTTAAGATTTATCGTGGTAACGTTTAGCTTTTTAGAATATTTCACATATTATAGTTTAATAGAGGATTTAGTTTACAGGTTTTGAGTACAATTGTAAATATGAGTTGATTCCATGTACATGTAACTTTTTCTAAGCTAGAATTGAGCTGTTTTATTTTCTTAGATTTATGCAGACAATAACATTTCGTGGTTTGCGCTATCACTGTAAGCAGACAAAATACGTTTGTGGAAATAATTGCTCGAGTTTTGCTATTATTAGACAACAGATCGCACATTTCCTCCATACTGTGATTGGAAACGCCTATAAAATTAAAATAGAATATATGTATATCAGGCTGAAACATGCATACATGAAACATGATATAAAAGATATAGACTGTATGGGGAATATAAATATAGACTAACATGAAAATAGCAAATATGGAAGACATGAAAGATTTTACAATTTTATCGTTCAATCTCTCTCATTTATGGAGATTGAACGTTCAATCTTTCAAGATTTTATCTGTTCAAGATTTATCTGTCCAAGATTTTATCGTTCAATCTCTCATTTATCGTGATGGAGAAACCCAAGACTAGTTGCTCTTGAAATACAGGATTAGCCACCTTAATATTGTAACAAAAAAGTTTTACTACCACTAAAATGCAAATTATGTGTAAATCACTATACACGAAGTTTACCGTACTTGTCGCATTCTCGTTCCCAGGGCCTCTCGGTAGCGCGCGACCTTCGTAGACCCTGGGGTATAAGGAACCGGAAGTGCAAGAAAACTTACAGTTTCTGAAGCGCATACTCTTGAATTGGGACACTTAGCACCCGTAACAATTTTCACCAGCCTCGTACCCAGGCGCAAATAACTAAAAATAGGCACACTACAGTGTTTTTATATAGATTAGTGGCTAAGTTGAGCGGGGGTGCATGGGGAGGACGCGTCCCCAAGCACCCCTGCGCGCTCGCTCAGCTTAGCCACTGATCTATATAAAAACACTGTAGTGTGCCTATTTTTAGTTATTTGCGCCTGGGTACGAGGCTGAATTTTCACAGAGAAGTATCAGGGATGGACCATTAGATTTTTTTTTTGGGGGGGGTGGTTGGGCAATTTTTTCGTGCATGATATTTTTTTTGCCGGGCAAAGATGAAAGGATACTTGATGAAAGTCACTAGTGTTTTCATCAAATATCTTAATTACGCATGCAAAATTACTTGCATCGAATTCCTGATTACGTCAGGGCATTTTTTAACTATATAACTGGGGGGGCTAAAGCCCCCCCAGCCCCCATGGTGGCCCCCCCACTCAACCATTTTGGCCCCCCCAGTCAAAGTCCCTTTTCTCTAAAATATAAGCAAAACATGGAATTTAGAAGGGAGGTTTGATATTCTAGTAACTGAAATTTGCTTTGTGAATCTTATGTCCTGTCTTTTATGTTTAATAAATACCTTATTAGATTTTAAACATTTCCCAGGCAGTGGATTGCATTTCCCAGACCCTATAGATTTGAGTTGTTGGACAAGTTAGTGACCGCAGGGGGCAACAGGCCCTCAACCAAGTGTTTTATAAGGGGGGGGGGGATAATTTTGGCCCCCACCAAAAAAAAAACAATTTGATTTCGAAACTAGAAGTATTTGAAATCATATATACATATAATCAAATATCTGTAATCGATATTTTGATAACATTTCTCGTAATAATCCATCCTGACTCGCGGATATCATAGACTCACAAATCATAATGAACGAACTAATGAAAGGGGCGAACAAAAGACGTATAGAAGACTTTGAAAATGCCATTTCCGATGATTTAGAAACGCAAAATTTTCAAAATTTTTCCGCTCTGTGCCAACCATGGTGGCGCTTCGTGGGAGTCGGGAACTCTAAGTTTATCAAGCTGGCTCCCTAAGTGACGGCCAAGTTGTGGTATCTACATAAACATACTATGCAAGTACTTAACTGGAGGTTCAGTCTATCTACAGCATAATGTAATGCTGTATATCCAAAAATCTGTTTCAGAAAATGCAGGGAATTGCAGTCATAGGGGTAGAAAAATACAAAAATTTTCTGGGGAGAAAACCCCAGACCCTCTCCAGGGCCGTAGCAAATTATTGCTAATAATCATTCATTTTTCAAAATCATGCAGACCTTTATTATTTAATCCATGACAAACTGCAAAGAATGAAGATATTACCCATACTTTCCTGCAACTTATCCAATATATCGTTAATTAAATACACCTTCGTCCATTTAGTACTACTGAATTCTAAATTTCCACATACTAAAAACGCTGTTTTCTGACAATCAGAAATCTGTCAAATCTTCCCCAAAGTCCAGGAAATGGCATTTCAGAGACTCTAAATTTAAAAATTTCCTCGGGCCTTCGGCCCTCGCTTTCACCCCCTCACCCCCAAACGAAAAGAGCTTCCTACGGCCTGCTCTCCCCCCCTACTATTAAATGCGATACCACACCAAACTTTTTGTTACCAACAAACCATCTATCATTGCTCCACACTCGGTATAGTATGGTCCCTTTTTGTAGATGGCCCCCCCACTGACGAATTCTTAAAAAATGCCCTGGATTACGTTATGCTTGGTTAAGAATTCTATTCGAATCAGCAAACGAAAACATTCTGTTACGTCTCGATTCATTTGAGAAGCCATATAAACCACTCGAGCTCGTGTCTCACCGGGATATCCAAACACTCGAAAACAATGTATGAAAACACTCGCGCTCGTAACATAATACATTGTTTTCTCGTGTTTGGATATCCCGGTGAAACACTCGCTCTCGTTGTTCATATATTACCTGAAGTGCAAGTATAGGTATTAAATAGCATGGTTTCGAGTGCAATTTGAATATAACAGCAACGAGTGAGTTTTTCAAAGACCTCAAAGTCGAGTCCGAAGGACGAGTGCTATTTGACGAGTGCATATTTATCCAAATTTCACGAGAAACCATGCTATTACTTATTAATAATTTACATAAAAATGTTCGAGACAATTGTAGTTTTAACTTACGCGTTTATAGCGAACATTTCACTGGCAAAGTTTTCCTGGCTTTATTATATCACATTATACAACGCTAACAGCTTGAAAATTCCACCCAACTATGTATTTTTGTTAGTCTTGTTTAATAAGGTAAATGCTCTTCCATTTAAAAATAAAAATAAAGATAAAAGCCATATTTTCCACGCGAAGTCAACTTTTACTTTATGTAGCGCGGCGCCATGTTTGTTTTGTTTTGAAGCAATCTGTGACCGTTTACTTCTTTAAACTAAACTGCTTTAAAAAACTCCATTCGACCGCCAATATTGATTTCCGACGTATATGATGGGAAGATTAAATATTAAAAATTATAATATTAAATATATATATGTTATTTACCGGCTGCGAAGTCCGTACTGAAAAAATATTTTCCCGAGGCCTCTCCGCAGAGGCTTTACTTGAAGTTTCTAGTGAGGGAAAAGTGAGCGCGCAAGGAGTGATGGGAAGAGCTAAATAAAAGGAAGCCTCTGCGAGTTAATGCAATCAATATGGCGTCGTATATAATAGTTTGTAGCGAAGTTTGATCAACCATCGAGGGTGTTAAAACATGTTTTTGACTTTCATTTTCAGTATCCTGGGGAGAATTAAATATCAACATCTTCTTCTGTCCATTTACATCGAAAAATAGAGAAATTGCAAACGAATATCAATGGATACGAGCTATCTAATTATAAATATCCTCTTAATTGCAACATTTCTTTATAAAAATGACTCCATTGAACTTCGATACTCAGATTATGAAGATTCATTTCAATTTCTTTCACATTTCCGTCGATTTCAAGATTAAAAAAGGTCAAACAACTAGTTTGGTTCAAAAACCATACTTCGTCGCATTATCTGGCAGAGCCTCCCCCAACTTCATTTCAATATTCCCATCACACAGCGCGCGCTCACTTTTATCTAGGAATTCGTGTCCTCAATAGGCGACAAATAGTACGAATAGTCGACGAATAGTGCTGTAGAACTAAATTTACCGGGGGGGGGGGCTCTATTGACAAACATGAAATCGTGAAAACTTTCGTTGACGTACGTCAATGACGTCATACGTAACCGGTAAAAATTACGGGAACCACTGAGTATTTTAATAAAATATAAAACAACGATAATTTCTAAAATAAACATTTTAATATTGTAGCTTTCGATTAAAATTCAGTCATCGTCAGGAAATATATTTCATATTTTTTTAATTTATAATCATTCCTGATGGTAAGTGGTAACCATATGAGTCATGAATTTTACTGATGGAATTTTATAGGAATTTTACTTGTAAGTTGTGACGTTGTAACTGAAGATTTAAGGGCTTAAGTGATTTCGTGTGCTTGGAAAACGTGATTTACATCACGAAACAAGAGAAGGTATCGATTTATTATTTAAGCCCGTTTTTGGGCGAATTTGTTCGCGCGAAGCGAAAACCAAATTTCGGCAATGTGATTGGTCAGCGAAAAAAATCGCCGTGAAAAAGTTGGATCATCCTACTCTTTTTATACTAATTAGGGACCGGTCATTATTTATGGCGGGGGGTGGCACCGAAGAGAAATGTTTTTCGTAGCAAAAATTTTGCTGACCCAACCATTAAAAAGTAAACAAAATTGATTACCCAACCTCAAATATCAATTAAAAAATAAATACCCACCCCTGGCCAAAAAATTTACAAAAGATACCATTCTGTTGTCACATATGTCCTTTACCACTTCTGTGACATAAGTTTGATAACGGATTGTGAAATTTTCTGCAGTGTGAAGTTTCATGTTGTCTGCACATGTTGCTACTTTCTTTGGAGATCCCATCGGAAATTGATCAAGATAATGACTCTGATTGATATATACTTTTCGTTGTTTCTTTGCACATTTAGTAAATCTTAGTATAACACCAAGTTCATCAATTGCTGCTATTTTGCTAGCAAATCCATGTATAATAAACCCGGGTGTTTTGCAATCAAAAGTGATGCAACCTGGATAGTGGAATAAGTTGACTACTGTAGGCACAATTTTTGGCCACTTAATAATCAAAGGTCATGCATAAATAAGAACAGTCTTTAATATTACCGCCTTACGGAGACTTTATATTAATTGTGCTACTCTAGGATCTAGAAGACCCATAGGTCCCATACTCGACTACCAACATGATGAAGTTAGTTATGTTAATTCATATATAGGATCAATGTTAAAGGCAAGGTGGGCTATACGCTATAATCATTTGTATGGCTTATAGAAGGCTAATTGCTGCGAATAAATTGAATAATGAATGTAGCACAATATTAAATAGTTGCATGATGACGTCAATTCGTCAAAGAAACTAGTCAGACTACATTTACTCTACTCTCATCGCTTAAATTCCCCATACCTGAATACAAAATCAACAGTAAACAGTAAACAACGATTACCTTTTACATACCATATATAAAATGGAGTTTTCATCCTTTCTAGAAACTCACTTCCTGAACTTTTGAGTGCAAATGTAGTATTAACAAGAAAATATTTCTTTAAAAAAGAAATAATGTTTCGTTCCAATATAATTATAGAAATACCAGACGTCTATAATTAGCGGTTGTGACCATAGATCACTTGTATATGTCGAGCAATGAAATTGGTTCATTTTGTGAGGCGGGCGGGTTCTATAAATTTTCATTATACCTGGAGGGGCCGAGCGGTCCAGAAATACAGTAGTAGTATTTAAAATGAAGAAAAACAAAGAAAACTATATAATAAATATATATATATACCGCTGTTGGCGCTTGAATACTTCAAATATAAATCATCGTGCCTGTAGATTTTGACCTGAAGTTCAGGCCCTAAGATTTTGATTGGTTGCAAGTTCACATAAACAACAGTTTTAAAAATAGCTCGGTCAAGGGCTCAAGGGGACAATAATAATATAAAGGTCAAACGCACGTAACAAATCCATTATCGATTTCTTCGAATTTCTTTTCTTTTAATATGCTTTATGGCAGAAAATAAATCAAACAAATAGTATTTTGAAGGTCTTTATCAAAATCTTTGACGAATTTTGGACACACGACGCTGAAAGAACAGCCAAACTAAATTAGTCATCTATTCGAAAGTTTGTTGTTGACAGCCAAGATGTTCTGCCAACTGGCTTCGCCGGCAAAAGTCTTATTTTTAATATCAGGTCCTACCGGCGTTGTTTTCTGAGCTACATCGCCTTCTTCGTGGTACGATTGAGAATTTTATTGTTGCTGTTGTTAGCCTGTTAAAGTATATCCCTGGTATATATCCGCGTCCAGCAAGTTGAGACCTTGAGAAAGCTTGGCAGTCAAGCTGTACACAGAACTGACTAATTGAATCTTCGTTTGCTGTTCGGTTAAATAGAGAAACTGACTCTTAATTATATAAAAGTACCTTGAATTTTTAAGTTTAATTAAAAAACAAAATGCACACTCTGCCGACATGTTCATGAGAATATAAATTTTTTTGTGTAAAGAAATCTATAACACTTGTCAATCATATTGCATGCTGTGTCTAAAAATAACATGTGAGTCTAGACAGGTTTTGTGTCAGGCCCTATTTAAAATTAGGGCCTGAACTTCAGGTTAAGTTAGCATGTTCTCATAGGTTGATATATAATTAACTAAGATTTCCGATTATACGCCACGCCTCCAAAAAACTGCTTATGCTAGGAGCGGTCATCTCATTGGACGATTCTAAATGTAATTGACGTTTGAGCAAGAATACTGGCAAAGGATTGGATAACTTTGATCTCTGACGTCACTTTCCTGTGATAATTGCTCGAAACCAAATACAGTACCGTTTCGTTCCTGCGGGGAACGAAACAAAAATGTATATCATATTCACAGCGGTTAATACCATTAATATATCGCAGGCTCTCTCCTCCACAGAGGCTTTAATTGGCTATGAAGGCGCGAAGCACTGAGCTCTACTATATATATCTGGAGATCGTGCTCGCAAATGAAAAGTGTCCGCAAAAACATGGCGGATTTCGAGCTCCACGTCCACTATTCTCATGGTACGTTAACTGAGTCAACTGACCACAGCTCAAATGCGTGCGGGCGACATTTCCCACTCCCCCCTGACCAGAGAGCCACTGATCTTTATAATTTTTAAAAAAGGAGTACATTGTAGTGTAAAAGGTTTCTTCTGAACTTTACCAACTACTATCAAGTTCAAGCTGGATCATTAATTCATTCGAGCGACTATCTCCACAATTTCTGCTGTGAAATGTATAAATGATGATCCAAACAGATAATATAAATGAGCTGAACGAATGGTGGTATTTTTGCCCATGTCGCATGTATGCTTTTGGAGTATCGGTAGGTGCAGACCTACAGTATTTTGTGTGGAGCCGTAGAAAATGAGTAATAAATTACTAAATTAACGAGAAATTGAAATAATTGTCATGATGGGAAACAAACTTTTGAAATTTCGAGGACTATGGTGATTCTGTTTCCATATGTTAATAAATAAACAACAAAAGCTGAAAAGCACTACAGGTGAGGCATTTTTCAAAATTTTAATGAAACACTTGTACTGTACCATACATTCATTTATTGAAATATACTATAATTTATTACTATTGTATAATATTTCAACTCGATTACTACTTGTATATAATGCACATATCAATGGCCTGGCCCTGGGGGTACACCCCCAGGACTTTGCAAAAACATGATTCTAATGCATTAATTCCCCCTCCCTCCCCCGGGAAATGTGTAAGTCAAACTGCCCTCCCCCTGGGCTTACAATAAAGTAAATAAAAATAAAAAATAAATACCCACCCCTGGCCAAAAAATTTACAAAAGATACCATTCTGTTGTCACATATGTCCTTTACCACTTCTGTGACATAAGTTTGATAACGGATTGTGAAATTTTCTGCAGTGTGAAGTTTCATGTTGTCTGCACATG